TGTTCTTTCATTTGAAATATTTTCCTCATTTTGCTTGAATCTCTGTGTTGGTTTCTATGCATTAGATGAAAGAGCCACCTCTCCCAGTCTTGAAGTAGTGCTCTTGCATAGGAGATGAACCTTATCATTCAACCTTGCCTTAGCTCTTAGTTGTCTCCCAAACCTTTGTGATTGTCCAAGCAGCCTATTGTATTTTTTATTTATTTTTGGCTGTGTTGGGTCTTCGTTGCTGCGTGCAGGCTTTCTCTAGTTGCAGAGAGCAGTGGCTTCTCTTGTTGCGGAACGTGGGCTCTAGGGCATGCGGGCTTCAGTAGTTGTGGCACACGGGCTCAATAGTTGTGGCTCGCGGGCTCTAGAGTGCAGGCTCAGTAGTTGTGGCGCACAGGCTTAGTTGCCCTGTGGCATGTGGGATCTTCCCGGACTAGGGCTCGAACCCATGTCCCCTGCATTGGCAGGCGGATTCTTAACCACTGTGCCACCAGGGAAGTCCAAGGCTATTTTATTTTTAATAGCCCTCATAGTTGAGGATGTGTGAAGACCTGTCTGTCAGTGTCTCAAACAGGAGGCTCTCAGGCAGCACCTAGATTCAGGCTAATTGAAAGTCATTCCCTTAGGCAGCAGCTTTTAAATTATGCAGATATATACAGTGGGAATGCAAGTGTAAGCCCAGCTGGCCACCAGAGACAGATGATCTGGAGGTGTCCCCTGGGTGACAGTCACAAAAATCAGGGCTTTGGATGAGTTTATAAGCTCCTTTCTGGGAGATACTGATGAGCTGTGGTGAAGCAGAGGGAGAGTGCAAAGATAGCATCCCCTGGCCTGTGTCCCCTGAAAGCACCTGCATAGGTCCCTAGATGTGTGCCAAACCTGAAAGCTGCCCCTTAGGCCAAAGCTCCAGGACAAGCAAATAGCCCTCTTTCATAGAAAGACTGGGGTGTGTTTCAGTCTCCTGTTTGTGCAGTGCCCTGCCTGGTGGTGGTACCTTGCAGAGAACTATCTCTTGATTGTTACAGTCCTGTGAGACTCAGGAACACCAGCTCCCCTGACCACCAGAGTCAGGCAGGCAAGGGGCATCCCCTGGGTGGAAGCTGCAAAAACTGGGGCACCAGACATGTGTAAGAGCTCCCCTCTGAGGTGTCTGGAAGGGTTTACAGTCAGCCCTTAGATGTGTGTTTAATTAGAAGCCTGCCATGATAAGATTATAGGCCCATTTCACAGAGAGATTGAGCTCCTTGGTCTGTTACTTCTTGCTGTGCCCTGAGGGTGTTAGCTGTTTAAGACCTCTTTCTCTATTGGTTACAGTCCTTTGGGACCTGCAAACATAAGCCCCTCTGGCCACCAGAACTAGGTAATGTAGAGGTGTCTCCTGAGAGCAGTTGCAAAAATTGGGGCACCAGCCAAGGTTCTGGGAGATACTGGCAAGCTAGAGCAAGGCAGAGAGAGAATGCAAAGATTGCATCCATCAGCCTCCGTTGGCCTCTGTTCCCTGAGAACACTTCCATAGGCTCCTAGAAGTGTGCCAGGGCAGATTCCTGCCCCTCAGGCCAAAGCTCCTGGACAAGCAAATAGGGCTCTTTCTTGGAAAGACTGGGGTGTGTTTCAGTCTGCTGTCTGTCCAGTGCCCTGGGGGTGGTAGCCTGCCAAGAACTGTCTCTCGAATGTTATAGCCCCAGGGGACCCAGGAGCACCAGTCTCCTGGCCTCCAGAGCCAAGCAATCAAGGGGTACCCCCTGGTGGCAGTCACAAAACCCAGAACATGAGACGTGGGTAAAAGCTTCCCTCCAGGAGATACTGGTGGTCTGAAGCGCAGTAGAGGGAGAGCTCAAAAATGGGGCCCACCAGCTTCTGTCCCCAGATAGTATCCCAGCAGGCCCCTGCCTCTCTGGCCAACTTTTTAAGATTAGGAAATGAATTTTCTTCACTTAAAACCTGGGCATCTTTCAAACAGCTGCCTCTGTGCTGGGCCCTGGGGTGAGTGAGTGCTCACGAGCTCTTTAACAGCCATTCTCCTTTCACTATAGCACTTTGGGTCTCATGGATGCAAGCCCATTGACTTTCAAAGCCAGATGCCTTGAGGGCTCAACTCGCAGGTGCAGGTCTTAAAAGCTAAGGTGCCTTATGTGGTGTACAAACTCTTGGCTACTCAGGGAGAAGCTCCGGGTTTGTGAGTTTCCTCCTGATGGTGCGTAGGTAGCTGCACTGGGGGTGGGGTTTATGGTGAGATTCTCAGCATCTCTATCCACTTGAATGTAGCCTTTTTCTCATTTGCCCCACGTGAAGGAGGTGCTCAGCTAGTTTTCAGAGGGTGTTTTTTGTTTTTACCGGAAATTGTTCCATATGTAGCTGTAGAGTCAGTGTGTCCATGGGAAGAGGTGAGTTCACGCTCATCCTAGGTCATCATCTTGAACTGCCTCATAGATGTAAAACCTCAGGCACCAGATGTGTGTGAAAGCTCCCTTCGGGGAGATACTGATGCTCTAGAACATGGCAGAGGGAGAGCATGAAGATGGTACCGAATGGCTGGACTGAGGCAGTCGGGGAGAGATGGTTCCTGCCAGAAAAGAAAAAAAAAGATGGTGGCTGCCAGTCTCTGTCCCTGAAGAGTACCCAGGTAGGCCCCTGAATACGTTTCACATCAGATGCCTTCCCCTCATGACAAGCAAATGATCCTTTCCCACACAAAATCTGGTTGCCCCTGGATCAGCTGCATCCATGTTGGGCCCTGGGGAGGGTGAGTCTGAACACACAAGTTGGTTTTTGAAGCTAGATGTTTTGAGACAAATAGGCTAATAGAACAGAATTGAGAGCCCAGAAATAAATCCAAGCATATATGGTAAATTAATATTTGACAAGGGAGCCGAGAATACTCAATGAGAAAAGATAGTCTTTTCAATAAATGGTGCTAGGAAAACTGGATAGTCACATGCAAAAGAATGAAACTTGACCCCTATGTTATACCAGTCACAAAAAATAACTTGAAATGGATTGTAAGACCTGAAACCATGAAACTTCTAGAAGAAAACATTTTTTAGAAAGTTCTTTGACATGGGTCTTGGTAATGATTTCTTGAAAATCACACCTAAAACACAACAACAAAATTAAAAATAAACATGTGGGACTGTATCAAGCCAAAAAGCTTCTGCATAGCAAAAAAAAACATTAACAAAGTGAAAAGACAATCTACAGAATGGGCAAAAATATTTGCAAACCATATATCTGATAAGGGGCTAATATCCAACATATATAAAGAACTCATACAATCCAATAAGAAAAAAAAAATTAAAAATGGGCAAGGGACCTGAATAGACATTTTTCCAAAGAAGATATACGAATGGCCAACAGATCCATGAAAAGATGCTCAATAACCCTAGTCACTAGGGAAATGCAAATTAAAACCACAATGAGATAGCACCTCATGCTTGTTAGAGTGGCCATCATCAAAAAGATAAGAAATGCTGGTATGGATGCAGAGGAAAGGGAACCCTTGTACACTGTTGGTGGGAATGTAAATTGGTACAGCCACTATGGAGAACAGTATGGAGAGGCCTTAAAAAAATAAATATAGAACTACCATATGATCCAGCAATTACACTTCTAGGAATTTATCCAAGGGAAACAGAAAGACTAACTCCAAAAGATATCTGCACCCCCATGTTCATAGCAGCATTATTTACAATAACCAAGACATGGAAACAATCTAAGTGTCCACTGATGGATTAATGGATAAAGAAGTGGTATACAATGAAATATTATTCAGCCATAAAAAAACAAGGAAATCCTGCCATTTGCAACAACATGAATGGCCCTTGAAGGTGTTATGTTAGTGAAATAAGTCAGAAAAACACTGTATTGATTTCATCTATATGTGGAATTGGAAAAAAAAGCAAAAATAAAACCCCTCAAAAGCCCAAACATCAAACTCACAGAAAAAGAGAAAAAAAATTTTTCTTTTATCTATACGAGATGATGGATATTAGCTAAACCTACTGTGGTAATCATTTCACTATATGTGTACATCAAACCATCATGCTGTATACCTTAAACTTGTACGTCAATTATTTCTCAAAACTAGAAAAAGAAAAAAATCTTGATGTTTTGGGGGTTCATCTCTCCAGGTGCAATTCTTAAAAGTTGGGGAAGCCCGATTTGGGGTTCAAACCCTCACTGCTCAGAGAGAAGTCCCTCCTGATTGTGGGTTCTCAGGCTAGGGGTGGGGTTTATGGTGTGGTTGTGTCCCTGCCTCTCCTACCTGCTTCGATGTGGGCCTTCTCACGATGGCCAGTGTGTAGACTCACTCAGCCAATTTTTAGGTTATTTTCAGAGGTAGCTGTTCCATATGTAGCTGTAGATCCAGCATGTTGGTGGGAAGAGATGTGTTTGGGATCCTTATATGTCGCCATCTTCAAAGCTTTTTAGTTTTTTAAAGCTGGTGGTAAACCCTTCCAGATTCCAGGTCATTTTGAAATTAAAACAGAAAAAACAAAAACCCAGGTTAGTTTGCATAATAACAACACCTCCCCACCACTGAAAAAAAAAAGTGTATCTTTTGAAACAGGGGAACCAGTAAGTCAGATTTCTTGCCTTCAAAACAATCCCAATCCAAAATGTAGGGAGACAAGTTTCATCATAGTTGAAACATTAAAGCAAAGCTTCTAAGTACTGTAACACTGAGGGGAAAGGCAAGATAGGCCAGGTGCCTTTTGTTTCCCAAATAGAAAGCCTTTCCTGCTGGGAAGAAGCCACTGAAGTACAAAGAGAAAAACAGAGCAGCCATGGAGTTGGGAAGGTGGAAAGGAGGGAAAGAGGGAGGGAGGGAGGGGAGGAGGGAGGGAGGGAGGGAGGGAGGGAGGGAAACAAACTGGGTTTACTGGTTCAGTCAAGGCTGAAATAAAGGCAGCTTAATCTGGATCTTTAAATCACCACAACACTTTTGCCAGAAATGTGTATTTGAACTCCATACTTTATAGATTTCAATAATGTTTGATCTGTCACTTTTTCAGGCATCAATAAATTTACAAAAAAGCTGCGGAGTCCATATGCAATTGATAATAATGAACTACTTGACTTCCTTTCCAGAGTCCCTTCAGATGTGCAAGTGGTATGTAGGTTTCATTATTATAACTACAGGCATAGCTCATTTTATCGTGCTTCACTGATATTTCTTTTTTTTTTTCTTTACACGTTGAAGGTTTGTGGCAACCCCGCACTGAGCAAATCTATTGGAACAATTTTTCCAACAGCATTTGCTCACTCTGGGTCTCTGTGTCACATTTTGGTAATTCTTGAAACATTCTGAACTTTTTCATTATTATTATATTTGTTATGGTGGCCTATGATCATTGATCATTCATGTTACTATTTTAAAAAGATTAATACTTGCTGAAGGCTCAGATGATGTTTAGCATTTTTTAGCAATAAAGCACTTTTAAATTAAGGTATTACTGTTTTAGATATAATGCTATTGCACACTTAATAGACTTCAGTATACCATAAACAGAACTTTCATATGCACTGGGAAACCAAAATATTCATGTGACTTGCAATATTTGCTTCACTGCAGTGGCCTGGAAACAAACATGCAATATCTCTAAGGTATGCCTGTATCATTTTAATGTAAGTGTGGCATTAGGTTTTAACTTTTATATCCATTTAATTTTGAAGGTTTTAGAAGAGCTAAGTAAAGCTAATAAAGCCTGTAGAAGATTTTGCCATTCAGGAATTAGCCCAGTTTGGGGTGTTATCCAAGAAGAACTTACAGAGAAGATTGGGGAATGAGAGGGCATTGCATAGAGAACCTACCAGGGTGTCAGGGGGACAATCCTCCCCCAAGGTTCAGCTGGAGTTTGTGAAGGGAAGTCACCATCACCTGAAGGAGGAATTAGGAATATTAGATGGTGAAAGCAAAGTATGCCAGCAGATACTGAGAAAAACACTTCCTTAAATAAATTGCATGAATTAAGTGAGTTTTAAAGATGTCTGTTTTAGAGATCAGTGAAGGGGGAAAGAGTAACTGATTTTTGAGAACCGGGGCATATCTCAATCCTTTGAAAGCCTTGGAGGTTAATTAATGCCCATTGATCATTAAATATTTTCAGAGTAAAATGAGAAATGTTTTTATCAAACTATTGAAGCTGGGTTGCAGCAGTACCTTTTTCCTTTGTTTCAGCTGAGTTTTTGATTTGGTATCAGACATGAGAGTGGGCTGGATGGAGATAAAGCTTATATTAAACAAGCACACAATAAATAATTATAGAGAACCATTATTCGGCCCTTCAAAATAGATGGAGATGGTTCTGCTTTTAATGTTACTTGGGTATAGGCAATAGAGACCTCAGCCTGTTACCAAAGTTCACATCAGGGCTGTCATGTAGATTCTGGCAAGATTTCCCTTGACTCTTTGCTCTATCATTCTATTGTTTTCTGCATCCCAGCTGCAGATCGCATACAGCTTCCAGAGCGAGCACTTTCTTTTTCCCCAAGCATAGTCTCCTCTCAATTCCTTTGCTTTTCCTTCCTTTGCCAGAAAGTGGCCACCTGACCAGCCTTTCTCTGAACTCTGTTTAAACAGGTGCAATACCAAGAACTGAAACCAGATCCTTCTCATAGCCCATGTAAAAGGAAGAAAAACAATCTTGGCTAGCCAGCTCCCAGCACTGAGGAGACCAGCATCTGTTTGGGAAGATAAAAGGAAAAGCCTTCAGCCTGAGCCGCATTTCCTTTCTTTCTGTTTTTTATTTATTTTGCCATTTTACCATGATTGAGAGAATTTGTAAATAGTGTACAAAGGCATATGTCCTTGAAAATACACTTCCATTGTACAGAATCAATTTGATAAAGGTTTAGCTATTGCTGCGTGAAAGCCTTGTTAGCTGTGGATAATAATATAACACATTGGAACAACAAATGTAAGAATGGTAACATTGGGAGAAACACATTTCTCTAATTACAAGTGTAAGAACTAGAATATTAAATGCTCAGCTGTGCTCTGATTAAATCTACATAAAATGTAAATGTCAATTTGATTTTAAAGTTTTTTTTTAATGTGACTATTTTTTATCTAAAAAGTAATCCATTACGGTTTTCTATGTTTTATACATTTCAAAAGGGAGGAGGGATCCCAGAACCTAAATAATGGAACAGATGCATTACAACTTAACATAGATTCGGATCCTGATATTCATTCCTGTGCAAATTATTTAGATATGACTAGGCTGACTTTAAGCTAATGAGTGAAGGTATATTCACCTCCTCAAGAGAATCTTCCACACACACTGAAATCCTACAAAGAAAATTTCCGAATCTTCTATCATTCCATCTAAAACCTTAAAATCTCTACAGGACTACACAAAAAATACTGCCAGGTTTATAAATGATGATTGCCTATAAGGATTTTTATACCAATCAATCACTATTAATTTGTGCCAAATTAGCAACCCAGTTCAGTTGTCAAAAATCTAGCAAATTAAATCCACATTGCTTTTGGTGTCAGATTATGCCTCTGTGCATCTAAAAATATTTAATACTCAAGTGTTCTCACAGAAAAAAAAATGTATCTACTTTCTTATTAGGTTACTGAACTGCTTTAATATGCATATTATGATTTTTGTTATTAGTGTGAATTTTAACATAGAGGAGAATGCAGTGTGCTAAGTGATATGCCAGTGTTTCATTACATTCATTTATAGAAAAAAAAAATCATTCTTGAAAATATGAATGCATGAAAACCTATTTTGTAAAATGAACTGCTTATGGGGGGGGGGGTTTGCCTTTGAAAATGTTTCACTACTTACCATAGAATCTATACTTAAAAATTGCATTCCCGACTCTCATGTAGTTTTTGTACCTAACTTCCTGGTATATCAAGGGAGTATACCTCTAGGGAGAGAGAATCTGGTGAGAATGTCTTACTTCCCTGACTTGGTAGGGGACTAAGCTTGGTTGAAATTGCTGCAGTGTTTTGCACTACTTTATTAACAATGGACTGGGATAGGGTGAAGGTGGGGGTCATGCTGGAAAAATGTAGAAAAGCCAGAAGCGAGAAATATATATTTCACTCTATAGGAAGATTCTTTAAAAATAAATTTAATCTCATCAAAGTTGATTTTTAAAGTATTTTTATTTTAAAGCTATGTTGTTAAATACTGTTTCTTATGATAAAACTATTTTGATCTGTTTATACACTATGCTTGAAAGAATGTCAATTAAATTCCCTTTCTACAGAAAGGCTTTGACCTCAATATGCTCTATTTAGCGCATCATGTTTATAATGACATGCTTAAATCCGCATACCATCATCGTTTAAGACAGACGTAATACTTCATGAAGTTGATGTTGCTACAGGAAGTTTACTGATGGAATAATTTGTTTCAAATAACTTTTTTTTTTTTTTCAAATAACTTTTGATTATACTTTGTGTGAGCTTTGTGTTCTGTGCTGACATTGTCTACTCAAATGTCTACAAGCCTGATATTCTAACACCTCCGATGTACCTAGTGGATAGCAACCATTAACAGATGACTAATTTCTGTTTCATGCTATCAAATTTCAGATGTTTAGTTCAATGGTAAGGTTGACCATTCACTGCATTAAATAAAAAAATAATCTTTTCTAAAAATAATCAGTACTTTTTTTTGGTCTCATATAAATAATATTATACTTAAAGAAACCCAGGTTTGGTCTGGAAGAAAAAAGGCTTTCCCTGACCTTGCGTGCTGTATAAAACGCAGCACCTTGCAGGGGTGAGTATCCAGTGACACTCCTAGAGAAGTAAGAACTATCTTGAGGCATGAAAGTGATATTCAGGGGAAGCTTCATTGCTTTTACAAACTACTGCACTCACAGACTGAAAACAAGAGACTGTGAATAATAGAACTTTAACCAGTTCTTTCTCCTTCTCACGAAGGCACGATTTTGCCTTTTGAAAGCTGCTTAACTTGATTTGTTTTTGAGAGGTTTGTAAACACATAAATATTTTAAGATATCTTAAGAGACTGGATGTCACTCTAACACCGATTTGGACTGCTATATACAGTAGTCATATGAACTATGAAATATATTCCTCAATATCCTTTAGTGAGTAAATTCACTGAAGGTCATTCATTATCCAAACTACTATTATTGCCACTAATTGTGGTAATTTATAAGAAATGCATATTTAAAACATTTTCCATTTATAAAAAGAACAGGGTACTTCTTGTTTATTTTGGTACTGTTCCACAGACTCAAATTGATAGGTGCTGTCAGGATTCCAAATTAACTTTGAATCATTCTATACACTAGGATAATCTGAATTGAAAGATTCTTTAAGTGACTTTGCTCTGTGATATATTTATTGAGTACCAACTATACGACTTGCCCTGTCATAGGCAATGGTCAAACCAATGATAGCATATTAAAATCAAATCTGGAGTTGAAGTATAGTAAGAGCAAATTTTAATTGATATGTTTCTGAAAGTATCTTTTATAGAATTTTATTGTGTTATTTAAAAGTGAAGAAAAATTTAGTAGTAAGTTCTCTTATCCAGGGACCATATTCCCATTTTGATCTCAATATCCAAATGTCTCTAATGCTGAAAGGAATCTACTTCTGTATTAACAGGTCTTATTCAAAGGCTTTAATTTCAGTTTATACACTAGTTAAATATACCTAAATGTTTATTTTTGAGTTTTGTACTCAGCATTAAAAACAAATCAAAATATAAAAGGCAGTTGCTGTTCCAGAAATGCAAGTAAAGAGAGCCCCCATTATACTTCTTGCAAAAGCCTGTTTATTATTAAATTAATGCTTAAATTCTGGGGCTTTAAACGTCAAGCGTGAGTGTGTGTATTTGTGTACAGATGCCTATTCATTTGTTTGATTAGTGTGTCTAGAATCAGCCTTTTCTAATTGGTTGGCCAAGTATCAATTAAAACCACATAAAAAATAATGAGAAGAATACTTACAATAGTGTCATTCCTTTGGATTATAATTCTCCTCCCCAGGATGACTGGTGTAACTCACTGAAAGAAAAAAAATCTAAAACATCCTTTTTTTCTGGTGGAGCTGTTACCTCTTCTGCCTCAGTTTCTACATTTGTACAGTGGCAGTCACATCATGACTTATTCCAGCTGAATCGCTGAGATTTAAGAAATACCAAGGAAAATTTCTTATCATGTAAGTATACTATGCAGATAAAAACCATTAAATGTCCAAAATGGTCATATGCTATAGAAACTAACACCACTGTGAAAGGTTTGCTGGAATTTAATGTTTCTATCTGTGCTTTTCCAAAGGGATCTGGGGTTAAGAACCGAAAACCAAAAAAGGTCAGGGGAGATGAATCAAATAATTCAAATTGGTTTCAAATGAGTCAGTTTATTGGGCTATTCCTTCGCATTCTGAACTGGTAACAACAAAAAAAGTGTTCTCTTGCATGCACAAGCAGTATTTTTGTAGACAGGTTTTTTTTTTTTTTTAAATGTATATGATGGTTGTGTCTCCAAACGTCACTGAAAAATTATATGACTCCATTTTAAAAAAAGGTAACGAAATGGCACTGCTCTTCTGCTCTACTCAATTAATGGTGTTACTAGATTAAGCTGAAAGCTCTATTTGTATTAAGAAAAACAGAAATAGGTAAGTAGCTGTGCCAAAGTTTTTTCAGTTTGTGGTAAAAATAAAATTGCCACGTTAATTCTCCCCTGCTGTAGATTCTTCAATGGTCTTTCAAAAGAGAAAAGGAATGACCAATGTGAGAGTCAATGAGCGAACCTACAAACCACCTCTCATTTTCTTGGGAATAAATAAATGCATCTGAGGAGACCTGGCTGAGTGAGGTTGTTACTGCTACTAGTGAGGCAAGATGGTAATATAGGCTTAGTTCCCCATTTCGGTCAAAGACAAGCTTCAAAATGACACGAGTCAACATGAGGCATTTTATTTTGCCAGAGTTCAAATGGTAAGTTAGGAAATGCTAACTGCATAGAGAAAAGTGCGCCCCTGGCCCCAACCACTTTTAATTGTCTCTTTATGACTGAAGACACATCTGAGACAACAGTCAAGAGTAATTACAAAGACAGCTGGACAACAGCAGAGAGGTGAGGGGGAAGGAAATGCCAAGATCTGTCCCAAGTTCAGAGATGTTCTTTTAATAAAGCTACTCAGAATACTGGAAACCTTAAAACTAAACTCTACATTATTTCCGCAAAACATTTTTCCTACAGTACTGATCATAACAATTACAAGTCAAAATCTGTGTATAACTTGTAATATTGAAACCATGGAAAACAATTTATTGATGTCAAGAACTAATAAACTCTGCAACCTTACACAATGGTATACCTACCCCTTCCCTTTGTCCTGGAACTCTTACAAAGTTCAGATTTCACTAACACAGAGACCTAGCAAACCATAGGAAGGTCTCTGAAGCACATGGTAACCCACCCAGAAAAGTAAAATACTATGTATGTTTTTAGAAGTAGTTTTAAAACAGATCAATGTAGTATTCGGTCTTATTTGAAGTTGCTGAACATTACCTTTTAAATTTCCCTGTAGGATGAAAAAAAGCATTTTCAGATATAATAGATAAAAACTTTTGGGGGGATATCATGAAACATCCAGCATTTGATAATTTAACCAAGAATCAGGCATACTAACTCTTATAGGGTGGGTTACCAGGTACACACCATCCATTCTTCTGGCACTATGATGCTAATACAAAGAACACACATGTACTTGGATTTCTCAGTGACTGACAATAACACTGACAAGCGAGAAATCTACCCCAAAAGACACAGTGATGTGATACTCACCAGTGTACTGTAGTTATGATGTAGGTATCCAATGTATTTATATAAAACAATTGTTAAAATATTGTATTTTGAATTGTACTACTTAAAACAGTAACTTACAAGAAGCCATTTTCCTCACCTTCACAGAAGAGGTGCAAAATAATATGCTCTGGACAACAGTGGCAAGACACTTTTGCTCAGAATTCTCTCAGTAGACGACTGACTGCTTACATCTGAATTAATGCTGTAAATAGTAATATTTAGAAGGGAATTTTTCCCAGGTGTATTATAATAAAAGAAAACAATTCTCAATTTAATCACACAGTAGTGAACTCCCTTTAAAGGAATTTAAGATACAGCCTTTGATAAATGTAGTCATCATTTAATCTTACAGTTTCTCCCTGATTTGGGGTGTTGAATCTGGAAAAAAAAAAAAATCAGAACAAGTAATTCTTCAGGTTCCCTGAAAGCTTCTAAAATCAGAAAAGGCTAATAGTGAAAATACGGTATCATGACTCCACAAGGTGTCTACATGAAGTTTAAACTTTAGCAATTTAGGAATCCTACTAAACAGTAATGACCCCGCCCAATATGGTAGGGCACTGCTTTGAAGAGGCTTAAACAGAAGACAGAAGCAGCATATCAGTAAAATAAGCCAGATTTACTTTCAAAGGAAGGGCATATAGTCCAAGAGTATTATTTGAGATCTGCATTAGATGATACTAGGCTTAATTACATCCTTACCTTGAAGAAAAATGGCATATTTTAAAAATGCACTTTATATTTTAAAAAGTCCAGTAGATGCCAGTTTAAATAAGACAACTTTAGAAAAATTTCAAAACTGATTCTTATTTATATTAGGAGCATTACTTTAAAAAAATAAATTTTATTACATTAAAAAAATAAATTGGCTACTGGTGTTATACACAAATATAAATCATGTTGCAGAGAAACCTGGAGAAGTGAAAAACAAATATTCAAAATTCTATCAGAAATACACCACTATTAGCAATGGATTTGCTTACAATCTTTTCCCCTCTGTAATTTTACTTAGATAAAATAATTTTTAATTACATTTAAATAGTTTCTATTTTTTAAAAAGGACTAAAATTAATCCGGGAAAAAGGAATTAAGGGAACAAGTTCAACCACTTTTTATAAATGGCTTTCAACCTCTCTTTAAGTCTATTTCCTCCAATAACATGACTGAGTATGAACTTAAAAGTATTTTGAAAAAAAGAGTAAAAGAACTAAAATCATGGGAAAACAAGAAATGAGAAATCTAGATTTGCATCACTTTTAAGAAAGGACTGAATCTCACTAGTCGAAATAGCCTATTTCTGATGATACCATTAAAATTGGTATTTTTATTCTTTATTTTGAGTGAATTTTAACTAAAAGAATCTTCCACCAAACACTTATCTTGACCCTTGGTTTACTGAACATTGTTCAAAATTTTCAAAGACAGTTTGTTCCTGAGATGAGGAGATCTGTCTGCCTTTTTTCTGATTTTGTACCTTCACTACCTCCTCAGTATATTAAACAGCATCTAGAAATCTTTACCCTCTTTAAACCACAATGATTCCTAACCATTTTCCCTCATCCCTTTGCCAAGTTTTCA